ACCGAATTATACCCATCGCGTCAACGACACGGGTCTTATTGTCCTGCATTAAACCAAAAATCGTCCTATGAGCGATTACAATTTTACATTACTATTTATTATTATAATAAATGGTGGCAAAGGTTTATTGGGGAGGCTGGAGGCCATTATATAAAAAAATACTACTATTACTATTACTACATATTTTTACGTGGCCTCCAGCCCCCCAATAACTACACCTTCGCCGCCATTATATTACCTTAAAATTAAATATCCTAATACAGAATTAGCTACCCTAGCTGTGATGAGTTAGTTGAGCCTCAGATCTATGCGGTATTCAGTGAATTTTGCCTCGTAGTCAATATCTGCGACTGTTGTCGACTTTGGGGCCGATGCTCTCATTCCCCTGACGCAGAGCAATGAAGACCTAAGCAGAGAGAAGGACAGGCGACATATCAACCAGGCTGTAACGTAATTTCTGGGCTGTTGCTTCGGTTTAGATAACAGCTCTGCGAATCTGGCATAGAAGCATCATGCACCTGGTCCCATCCCACCAGAGGTTGTGAACACCAGAGGAGTGAAGCTGCCTTGATCAACATTCTGAATTCCTCTCCCATATGCCCTAATCTTGTCGTTCTCGTTCCTCCTGTGAGCAGCACCGAGAGCTAGGTTACGGTGAATTGCGGCCATCGGATCAAAAATCCTTATGTCGAAGAAGGCTCGCTGTCCCCGCATCCAGAATCCTCGAGCACTGACGTCCTCAGGGCTTCGTTGGATGTGTTTGAAGTCCTGTGTTGGAAATTTTCACGGTCCAATGGAATAAGGGGCGGTTCCACCATGACTCCGTGGCAGTTTTCCTTCAGTAGATTTACTGTGAGATCCCTTACTTCGTCATGCCTCATGCATACGACGCCCCCTTTCTTGCACACCATGGCGTGGTCGATGTCATAAGATAGGCCACACACGAATTGGGAGGGCAAACCTTCTACTGGCCTACCGTACCTTAGAGCAATGGCATCTGTAAATTCTTGCTTATTAAGGAAGAAGCCTTTTGTCCTTATCGGTAACGTTGTTAACCAGTTCGAGGCGCCCACCTCCTGCGCTAAAGCTACTTTTTTTTCAAGTTCTCTATAATTGCTGCAACAGTTGTTGCAGTTTATCACTTTGGGTGTGTTGCTGTGTCGTAATGGACCGTTGAATCTTGTTTAATTCATTGGTATCCACCGGACTTGCTGCACTCTGAGCTATTGTGTGCTCAGTGAGGGCCACTGTGAGCTTGACAGAGTTCTGATGTTCTGTAACGGCAAGCTCCACTGGATTAATTAATCCCATTCCTCCTAGTCTCGGTGGTAGTGCAAGGAGTGACCTTTCTGCCTGGGTTAAGTAAGGGTTTTCACTAGTGTTGGGATAAAAGCGACATTGATCGGTTCTTCCAGAGGGTGTAGGAGGGGTCCGTTATCAGGGATAGTGCGCATCAGATAATTCCAGCGATGCTTGACTCCATGGGTGAATTCCGCAAAAGCCGCGTGTGGCTTTGTTTTAGCAATATCAGACAGAGCTTGGATTTCTTTCACCCACTCATTAACCTTTCTTGTTACGTACTACTACTACTACCACTAGTAGTTTTTTAGAACATGGCATCCAGCTTCCCCCAATAGCCACACCTTCGCCGCCATTTTATTACCTTAAAATTAAATATCCTAATACAAAAGTAGCTACCTTAGCTGTGTTGAGTTAGTTGAGCCGCAGATGCATGAGGCATTCAGTGACTGTTGCCTCATTGTCAATATATGCGACCGTTGTCGGCTTTAGGGCAGAAGATCTCGTTCCACTGAGGCAGAGCAAAGCAAACACAAGCAAAGAGAAGGACAGTCGACATCTCAACCAGGCTGTGACGTAACTCCTGGGCTGCTGCTTCCGTTCACATAGCACCAGAGGAGTGAAGCTGCCATGTCAACATTCAGAATTCTCTCCTCTTGTGCCCTGTTCTTGTTATTCTCGTTCCTCCTCTGTGCATTATCGAGAGCTACGTTACGGTGACTTTTTCGTTTTGTTTCACGGGAAATAGACCACCAAGGGCATAGGGGGCGAAAAATTAGGAGTAAAAAAATGCCGAAAACCAGCTTTTTGAAGTGAGACATATTATATAAGTATGGAAACACAGAAAAAGGCAGAGCATTCCATAGTTTGGCTGTTGTGAGGAAAGAAGGGTGTACTATAACGGGTTATTCTCGTGTGACCGACATCCACGGAGAAACGATGGACACCGCGAGAAAGACGAGTGTTACGGGCCCACGGCCTTCCCGGCGGTACACAGGGTGTCAAATCCACCGAATATTGCCTGTTAAAGTACCTGTAAAAGAGAGAGAGTGAAGCAACATTGAGGCGAAGAGAAAAGGAAGAGAGATTGTCGACTAAAGGAGGAGAGTTAATAAGACGAAATGCCTTTGATTCCACCCTATCTAACAGTTGGACAGAAGAAGAGCCACCCCAGATATGAGAGCAGTACTTGTTAGGACGAATGAATCCCTTATATACTTGAAGCAATTGCTCAGGAGAAAGTAGCTACGACATCTGTACAGCATTCCCAGTTTTCGGGAGGACGCTTTAGCAACGTTGTGAATGTGTGACTTCCATGACATATTAGAGAAAATGGTAAGGCCTAGAATATCTATTTTAGAATTTGGCAGAATGATTCAACCCGAAATGTAATTGGTGGGAGATCATCTAATTTGGAAAGTGTAATTGTTAAATACTGTGTTTTATTACTATTGAATTTAACCAAGTTTCTACCTCTCCCTTTGGAGATGCTGTACAGATCCGCATTGATAGATGAAATGATATCAGCTCTAGAAACAGATATACTTTGAGAATTAGGGGAAGGAAAATTGTGAAAGAATGAAGAGTACAATCATCGGTGTAAGAATGGATAGAATTAGTTGTAGTGTGAAGTAAATAATTTATAAAAAGAAGGAAGAGAGGAGGTGAAAGAACAGAACCCTGCGGGACACCACTATTGCCTTGGCAGATAAAGAGCGATAGATCGATCCATCGACAACTACCATGGATCGGTTCTCAAGGAAGCTAGAAATTAGAGAACAAAGTGGGGGAGAGAAGCCAGACGAGGAAAGTTTAGAAAGCAAAGACGTGCCATACCCTGTCAAATGCTTTGGAGATGTCGAGGGCCACTACGAAAGTTCACCATAATCCCTAAAAGAGGATGACCAAAGATGGGTGCAGTAGGAGAGCAGATCGCCAGTAGATCTCGCCTGGCGAAAGCCATGGATCGAAAATCCTTTGTCAAAGAAGGCTCGCTGTCCCCGCGTCTAGAATACTCGAGCACTGACGTCCACACGGGCTTCGTTGGATGTGTCTGAAGTTCTGTCATGGCAGATTTATTTCAACATATTTGCTGTGAGATCCCTTACTTCGTGGCCTCATGCTTTCGAAGCCCCCTTTCTTGCACACCATGGCGTGGTCGATGTCGTAGGATGAGCCTGACACATTGGAGGGCATCTGTGAATTCTTGTTTATTAAGGCTTAAACTTTTTGCTCTTATCGGTAACGCTGTTAGCCACTTCGAGGCGCCCACCTCCTGCGTTATAGCTACTTTTCTTTCAAGTTCACTGACAATTGCAACATCAGTTGTTGAAATTTATCACTTTGGGTGTGCTGCCGTTCTGTCGTAATGGACCGTCGAATCTTGTTTTATTCGTTGGTATCCACCTGACTTACTGCATTCTGAGCTATTATGTGCTCAGTGAGGGCTACCATGAGCTTGACAGAGTTCTGATGGTCGGTGGCAGCAAGCTCCTCTGCATTAGTCGGTCAATCCCATTCCTCCCAATCTCGGTGGTAGTGCATGGAGTGACCTTTCTGCTGGGGTTAAATAAGGGTTTTTTACTAGTGTTGTGATAAAGGCGACCTTGATGGCTTCCCCCAGAGGGTGGAGTAAGGGTACGATATACTAGTGCCATTATTTCGAGAACTAGTCAACTACTTCTACTACTACTACTACTACTACTAGGACTAATTCTACTACAGCTTTTACTACTACAACAATTTTTGGCTCTCCAACCTCCCCTGCTACTATTTTTTAAACGTGGCCTCCAGCCTCCCCCAATAGCCACACCTTCGCCGCCATTATATTGCCTTAAAACTATATATCCTAATACAAAAGTAGCTACCCTAGCTGTGTTGAGTTAGTTAAGCCGCTGATCTATGTAGTAGGTAGTACGCAGCTATCAAACATAGAGGTATTACCGCCTGGGAAGATATTGGAAGCATAATGCATTGTCTAATGGTAGACCCTGTTGCCATATGGATTCACAAAAATTGCGACCAAGTCTCAGGTTGCTTATCTGACTTTCTGCCTCATTTACACATAATTGCAGGGTCTCAATTGTTTCTCTTACTTTGACAACACAACATACATATATCGTTTCTCACTATTGATCTATTTTTTTAATTTTTGTATTAATGTATGGCCCTTTATTATTATTATTATTATTTTTATGTTTTTATTTAATAGTTTTATAATTTGTATTAATTTTAATTATTATTATTATTATTATTATTATTATTATTATTATTATTATTATTATTATTATTATTATTATTATTATTATTATTATTATTATTATTATTATTATTATTATTATTATATTTTCGCCACAGGTCCTGATGTGGGTCATTGACCTGTGCCCTGGTGGGCTAATCCCGTAAAAAAAAAAAAATCAGTGACTGTTGCCTCTTAGTCAATATCTGTGACCGTTGTCTGGTTTGGGGCCGACGATTTCGTTCCCCTGAGGCAAAGCAATAATACAATGCAGACCTAAGCAGAGAGAATGACAGTCGACATGTCAACCAGACTTCTGGGCTGCTGCTTCCATTCACACAACACCTTCCACCAGTCTTGCGAAAAAACGTCTTGCACTTGGTTCCATGCTACTACTACGACTATTACTTCTACTCGGGCTAGGTTTACTACTACTCCTACTATAACTACCACCGCCACTGACCTTACAGATCCCGATGATAAGGAAGGTGCTAAGGACGATGAGCGTGACGTGTGTACACAGTGTTGACATGTAGGAGATCTGCACACCTGTACCAAATGTGTTGTTAATATACACAGGATACACTGGTGTTTAGTGCACATGCGTTACTAGTGCACACCTATATCACACTGTGTTGCGAGTGCGCACCTGTACCACATGTGTTGCTAGTGCACACCTGTACCACATGTGTTGCTAATGCCCACCTGTACCACATACGTTGCTAGTGCACACCTGTACCACATGCATTGCTAGTGTACACCTGTACCACGTTTGTTGCTAATGCACACCTGTACCATGTGTGTTGCTAGTGCACACCTGTACAATGTGTGTTGCTAGTGAACACCTGTACCATGTGTGTTGCTAAGGCACACCTGTACCACATGTGTTGCTAGTGCACACCTGTACCATGTGTGTTTCTAGTGCACACCTGTATCACATGTGTTGCTAGTGCACACCTGTACCACATGCGTTGCTAGTGCACACCTGTACCGCGTTTGTTGCTAGTGCACACCTGTACCATGTGTGTTGCTAGTGAACACCTGTACCATGTGTGTTGCTAGTGCACACCTGTACCACGTGTGTTGCTAGTGCACACCTGTACCAGTGCACACCTGTACCATGTTGTTAGTGCACACCTGTACCATGTGTTTAGTGCACACCTGTACCACATGATGTTGTTAGTGCACACCTGTACCATGTGTGTTAGTGCACACCTGTACTATGTTTGTTAGTGCACACCTGTACCATGTGTGTTGGTGACACCTGTACACATGTGTTGTTAGTGCACACATGTACCATGTGTGCAAGTGCACACCTGTAGTGCACACCTGTACCACATGCGTTGCTAGTGCACACCTGTACCACGTTTGTTGCTAGTGCACACCTGTAACATGTGTGTTGCTAATGAACGCCTGTACCATGTGTGTTGCTAAGGCACACCTGTACCATGTTTGTTGCTCGTGCACACCTGTACCATGTGTGTTGCAAGTGCACACCTGTACCATATGTGTTGCTAGTGCACACCTGTACCATGTGTGTTGCTAAGGCACACCTGTACCACATGTGGTGCTAGTGCACACCTGTACCATGTGTGTTGCTAGTGCACACCTGTACCATGTGTGTTGCTAGTGCGCACCTGTACCATGTGTGTTGCTAGTGCACACCTGTACCATGTGTGTTGCTAGTGCACACCTGTACCATGTGTGTTGCTAGTGCACACCTGTACCATGTGTGTTGGTAGTGCACACCTGTACCATGTGTGTTGCTAGTGCACACCTGTACCATGTTTGTTGCTAGTGCACACCTGTACCATGTTTGTTGCTAGTGCGCACCTGTACCATGTGTGTTGCTAGTGCGCAGTTTACGGTACTTGGTATTTGTGCTCTATTCATTAAATCATTAATTGATGCACATTATGTAGAAGTGTGTTTGTATGTATGTGTGTTTGTGTAAATATGTTTTTATATTTGCGCGCGCGCGAGCGGGTGTTTGTGTGTGTGTGTGTGTGTGTGTTTTTAGACACAATGAGCGTTTTGAGTGTGTGTCGTGTGTATCGTACATGCTGGTGCATCGGTGAAGTTTATACAAGCATGATAATGTAAAACTACAGTACTCGCACATATTAACAACAACACGAAACATTAATTGATAGCCTCTGTTTGTTCCCAGTAAAGACCAGAACTTTATCTGTCGCCTGAGTGAATACCAGCTTTCAGAATAATTTGTCGAAAGTTATCCACAATATAATTTATACTACTTTTTGTTATGCACCCCGCACCTTCCTCTCGGACAATAAACAAATATGGTTTGAACACAATTAGAGTTTTAGTAAAATAGTTGCATTTAAATTTGTTGATACATTGGAAAGTGAGGGAAATATATCAACACGTTATAATGTTAACTCTGTACAAGGGTTCTGGTGATGGGTGAATGTGACGTATAAAAAAATAGTTTTTTTCATTGACCACTATATAAAAACATAAATAAGGTATTAACTATAGGATAAATAATTTGACTTGAATGGTCGAGGCAAATTTTAACCTCTTTGATATACCTTAAGCTGGTCGTCGTATCCTAAGGGCTCAGATATCGTACACCTTGAGTAGAGTCATCCTACCCAGGGGTTAAGGAAATGGTTAATCATTCTGCTAATTCTGTGGGTTGACAACATATTCAAGGAGTTAAATAACTTACAATAACATGAAGGTGAGAATCTTGTTTCCTATTAGGACTTGGTAAAACCTAACTAAGACTCTATCGTTTACTGGCTGTGTTGTTATATTTACTTAGCAATTTTCATTCTAGAATATCAAAACTTCTTGTATCATTTTACTTTATTATGTACCTCTACTTTAATAACCATAAATGTATCTTTAACTATATACATTCGGTATGTATGTTTAATGTGTCTCTGTTAAGTTTCAAGCACATGCATAATACCATATAGAATCGTTAATAATCACACCTCGGTATAGAAAGAATTAATAAACTAGAGATGAGAATATAAATAAAAAATTGAAACAATAATAGTCATCAATTAATTACTGATAGAAAGATGCGTAAAACTTACCGTAGTAAACATCTTGAAGGTGGTTTGGATGTCGCCAGTTGACCACCAGCCTCCATCCATAAACCAGCGTCACCAAGACCGAGGAGCACTGTAGGTGCAACATCAACACGTGAGTAACGGTGTTGTAATGTGTCAGTGGTGGTATAATGGTGGGTGTAATGCAGTGGTGGGTCTAGTGTTAGTGGTGGTACAGTGGTGGGTCTAGTGTTAGTGGTGGTACAGTGGTGTGTGTAGTGTTAAAGGTGCCGTGGTGTGTGTAGTGTTAGTGGTGGTACAGTGGTGTGTGAATTGTTAGTAGTGCAGTGGTGTGTGAAATGTTAGTGGTGGTACAGTGGTGTGTGTAGTGTTAGTGGTGCAGTGGTGTGTGTAGTGTTAGTGGTGGTACAGTGGTCAGTGTAGTGTTTGTAGTGCAGTGGTGTGTGTAGTGTTAGTGGTGGTACAGTGGTGTGTGTAGTGTTAGTAGTGCAGTGGTGGGTATAGTGTTAGTGGTGGTACAGTGGTGTGTGTAGTGTTAATGGTGGTACAGTGGAAGGTGTAGTGTTAGTGGTGATACAGTGGTGTGGGTGTAGTGATAGTGGTGGTACACTGATGTGTGTAGAGGTTAGTGGTGCAGTGGTGTGTGTAGTGTTAGTGGTGCAGTGGTGCGTGTAGTGCTAGTGGTGCAGTGGTGTGTGTGTTAGTGGTGCAGTGGTGTGTAGTGATAGGTGGTGCAGTGGTGTGTGTAGTGTTAGCGGTGGTACAGTGGTGTGAGTGGTGTTAGTGGTGCAGTGGTGTGTGTAGTGATAATGGTGCAGTGGTGTGTGTAGTATTAGTGGTGGTACAGTGGTGGGTGTAATGTTAGTGGTGGTACAGTGGTGGGTGTAGTGTTAGTGGTGGTACAATGGGGAATGTAGTGTTAGTGGTGCAGTGGTGGGTGTAATGTTAGTTCGTACAGTGGTGTGTGTAGTGTTAGTGGTGTTACAGAGGTGTGTGTCTAATGTTAGTGTACAGTGGTGTGTGTAGTGTTAGTGGTGCAGTGTTGTGTATAGTGTTAGTAGTGCAGGGGTGTGTGTAGTGTTAGTGGTGGTACAGTGGTCTGTGTAGTGTTAGTAGTGCAGTGGTGTGTGTAGTGTTAGTGGTGGTACAGTGGTGTGTGTAGTGTTAGTGGTGGTACAGTGGTGGGTGTAATGTTAGTGGTGGTGCAGTGGTGGGTGTAGTGTTAGTGGTGGTACAATGGGGAATGTAGTGTTAGTGGTGCAGTGGTGGGTGTAATGTTATTGGTCGTACAGTGGTGTGTGTAGTGTTAGTGGTGTTACAGAGGTGTGTCTAATGTTAGTGGTACAGTGGTGTGTGTAGTGTTAGTGGTGCGGTGTATAGTGTTAGTAGTGCAGGGGTGTGTGTAGTGTTAGTGGTGGTACAGTGGTCTGTGTAGTGTTGGTAGTGCAGTGTGTGTGTGTAGTGTTAGTGGTGGTACAGTGGTGTGTGTAGTGATAGTGGTGGTACAGTGGTGTGTGTAGTGTTAGTGGTGCAGTGGTGTGTGTAGTGTTAGTAGTGCAGGGGTGTGTGTAGTGTTAGTGGTGGTACAGTGGTGTGTGTAGTGTTAGTAGTGCAGTGGTGTGTGTAATGTTGGTGGTGGTACAATGGTGTGTGTGTAGTGTTAGTGGTGCAGTGGTGTGTGTAGTGTTAGTAGTGTTACAGTGGTGTGTGTAGTGTTAGTGGTGCAGTGATGTGTGTAGTGTTAGTTTGTGCAGTGGTGTGTGTAGTGTTAGTGGTGGTACAGTGGTGTGTGTAGTGTTAGTGATGCAGTGGTGGTGTGTGTAGTATTAGTGGTGCAGTGGTGTGTGTAGTGTTAGTAGTGCAGTGGTGTGTGTAGTGTTAGTGGCGGTACAGTGGTGGGTGTAATGTTAGTGGTGCAGTGGTGCAGTGGTGTGTAGTATTAGTGTGGTGCAGTGGTGAGTGTGTAGTGATAGTGGTGGTACAGTGGTGGGTGTAGTGTTCGTGGTGGTACAAGGGTGAGTGTAGTGTTAATGGTGCAGTGGTGGGTGTAGTGTTAGTGGTCGTACAGTGGTGTGTGTAAGTGTTAGTGGTGCAGTGGTGTGTGTAGTGTTAGTGGTGGTACAGTGGTGGGTGTAATGTTAGTGGTGCAGTGGTGCAGTGGTGTGTGTAGTATTAGTGGTGCAGTGGTGAGTGTGTGGTAGTGTGGTGGTACAGTGGTGGGTGTAGTGTTCGTGGTGGTACAAGGGTGAGTGTAGAGTTAATGGTGCAGTGGTGGGTGTAGTGTTAGTGGTCGTATTGTGGTGTGTGTAATGTTAGTGGTGCGGTTTGTGTGTAGTGTTAGTGGTGCAGTGATGTGTGTGTAGTGTTAGAGGTGGTACAGTGGGGGGTGTAGTGTTAGTGGTGGTACAGTAGTGAGTGTAGTGTTAGTGGTGCAGTGGTGGGTGTGTAGTGTTAGTCGTCGTACAGCGGGTGTGTGTAGTGTTAGTGATGTTACAGTTATGGGTGTAATGTTAGTGGTACAGTGGTGTGTGTAGTGTTAGTGGTGCAGTGGTGTGTGTAGTGTTGGTTGTTATACAATGGTGTGTGTAATGTTAGTTGTACAGTGGTGTGTGTGTAGTGTTAGTGGTGGTACAGTGGTGTGTGTAGTGTTAGTGGTGCAGTGGTGGGTGTAGTGTTAGTGGTGGTGCAGGGGTGGGTCTAGTGTTAGTGGTGCAGTGGTGGGTGTAATGTTAGTGGTGCAGTGGTGGGTGTAGTGTTAGTGGTGGTACAGTGGTGTGTGTAGCGTTAGTAGTGGTACAGTGGTGTGTGAGTGTTATTAGTGCAGTGGTGTGTGTAGTGTTAGGTGGTGGTACAGTGGTGTGTGTAGAGTTAGTGGTGCAGTGGTGTGTGTAATGTTAGTGGTGGTACAGTGGTGTGTGTAGTGTTAGTGTGCAGTGTGTGTGTAGTGTTAGTGGTGCAGTGGTGTGTGTAGTGTTAGTGGTGGTACAGTGGTGTGTGTAGTGTTTGGTGCAGTGGTGTGTGTAATGTTAGTGGTGGTACAGTGGTGTGTGTGTAGTGTTAGTAGTGCAGTGGTGTGTGTAGTGTTAGTAGTGGTACAGTGGTGTGTGTAGTGGTGGTGCAGTGATGTGTGTAGTGTTAGTAGTGCAGTGGTGTGTGTAGTGTTATGGTGGTGGTACAGTGGTGTGTGTGTAGTGTTAGTAGTGCAGTGGTGTGTGTAGTGTTAGTGGTGCAGTGGTGTGTGTAGTGTTCCGTTAATAAATGGACTTTAGTGTTACCCGGCGTTTCCCTACCCATCACTGCTTTCTTCAGGGAACACTTGGATCCTTCATGGCGCAGTGAATAGGATCTGTGGACTTACAAGTGTGTGAACAATGCCGACGGTTACATCTGCCGGCAATGTGCGCGTCGACTCTTAGTGTGTTGTGTTGTGTTGCGTTGTCTTTCGCTGCAACGTGCAGTATTGCTCCATCACAGTGCGTTTTAGTGACGGTGGCAGTGTTAGTGTCAGTGTATCAGTGTGTCTAGAGCTGAGAGTTGAGCATTGGCCTGTTTTTTGTGGTACCCACGGAGCACGCAGGCGTACACCCTTCTCGTGTGACATCCGGGGAGACACTGACGTTCTTGCGTCCACAGCGGCTCCAGCCTAAGGCCACCACATCTGCTGTCTCAGACACAAACACACGCACGCATGCAAGCACGCACGCACGCACGCACTCACTCACGGACAGAACAGTGGACTCTATGCATTATTTCTGCGCTGTTTATGTCATATATATGTGGTTCGAGCTGATGAGGCGCCACTTTATATACTAAATAGCGCAGTTCAAGCATACTAAGATGGGCGGTAAGAAAGGACAACGTCAAGATGGGAGACACGACTCCCCACCACCTTCTCCTCTACCAGGCACAGATGGACCTTCTGCGCCCACCGCCCTTCATCCTTCACCTACAGCGACGGACATTGCCACAATTCTGAGGTGGATCGACTTCAGAGACGAGCGACGCAGAGAAATGGAACTTCAGAGGGAGGAGACACGAAGAGAAGAGGAAAAGTCGCGTTTTGATGCACTATTGGCGACCCTGGCGCTAACCCACCCTCCCTCACTCGCAGGTATCGCGCACCAAGGCGCCAGTACCCTCCCTCCCCCACCACACCAGCCTCCTCCAGGTACTCTTGCTACTCCAACAGCTCCCAAAGCATCTGTTCAACCCCCACCCGCCCTCTCACCAGACGTCACGTTTCAGCTTTTTCGTGAGTGGAGGCAGCGTTGGACAGATTACTCCACGATGGTGGACCTTGACAGCATGCCTCCAAACAAACAGCTCATCCAACTGCGGATGTGTTTGTCGCTGGAGACCCAGAGAGTTTTGGAGCACAGGTTGCAAGTGCCTCCCGATTCTACCTCTTCAGTGACGGATGTGCTAGACCTTTTGTAGGAGCACGTTAAGGGTCGGAATAACGAGGCTTTGCGTCGCCGCGCCTTCACCAGCTGCAAGCAGGCGGAGAATGAATCCTTTGACGACTTTTTTGTAAGCTTGAAGAGTTTGTCGGAGGAGATCGACGTCTGCAAGGCGCACAGCCGGGAATGTGAGGAAGCCTGGATCAAGCACGGGATCTTGACAGGTGTCAGGCAAGAAGAGTTGGTGCAGTGACTCATTCCCCTGGACGCTTCCTGCACACTCCAGGTGGTAGTGACCGAATGTCGGTCATACGAGGCCACCAAGTCCGCCACCTCTGCCTTACGGGCCCCACCTGCTGTGAGAGCTATCTCACAGTACAAAAAGGGTAAGAAGGCGGCCAACAACGTGAAGGCTGCCGCACGTTCTTCCACGCCTCCGCCTAGTGCTTCCTGTGGCAGCTGTGGAAAGCAGCATGGCCCAAAGACATGCCCGGCCGCCGACGCACTGTGTCGTGGATGTGACCGTAAGGGCCACTGGTCTAACACAGACAGGTGCCCTGCACGAGGCCATAAGTGTCAGGCCTGCGGTCGCTATGGACACTACGACAAATGCTGCCGCCAACCCAAGCCCAAAAGCCCGAGACGAGGAGGAAAGCAGCGCACTTCCCTCGGGGTGGTTCGCACGCAGCCCCCTTCAGATGGCCCACGCAGC